CTCCACATCGTCCTCCTCCCGGCGAGGGGCCGCCGCCGTCGCCTCAGTCTAGCAGCCGGAGGTCCTGCGGCGCCCTCTCGACTCCTCCACTTCCGGCCCACACGCGGTGTCGCCAGCAAATACTCCCGGCGGCTTCCACATCACCAACTCTCCGCCTCGCTCCCTCCGTCTCTGCCAATAGTGGGAAATGCGCATGCGTAGAAATCGAGGCCCGGGGCGTCCCTGAGACGGTGGCCGAGACGGACAAGATACGTCGGCGCCTGGCCGCAGGCATTTTCGAGTTTCCCGTGGGATTGTCTGCGCTGCGGAGGGCTGTCTCGCGACCTCCCCGCCCCAACCCGAAGACTCTGGGGTGAGAGCTCGGAACCCACCAGCTCTCTCTGCTGAAAGCACGTTTTCAGAAGAAAGTGTCTGGCTTAGAGGGTTGTTAGGAGTATAGGAGTGAGTCCCTGTACTTTAAACCGCTTCCATAACTATTTTTCTCTTTTTGTTTTCTCCCGACCCAGCCCTCTCCTACTTCTGTCCGAGTGGGCCATCGGGCAGATTGAGATTTTTGTGGGGCCTGAACCTTGCGAGAATTAGGGAGCCCTTTTTAAAAAAAGAATGCAACCTTATCTTATTTTTGCAAATTACTAAAGTACAAGATCAAAGGAACATTGCTAGGGCCACTCTCCGGGTCTTGGAAGTGGCCCCACAATTGTGCCCCTGAAACTAGAGCTTTATTAGCTTCACCGTCAACCCCCCTGGACACGTAATTGTACTGGATTGTTTATTTACAGATGCCTGTCCCCTGTCACTTGGCCATTCCCTATTCTGTGTACACTGTTTTATATTTACAGAATTTGTTAGTTCTGCTACCAGATCAAGAGCTCCAGGTCAAAAAACAAAAAAAGCTTGATGAAAGTGTGGACAAAAAGGGGCCACATGCTAACCTCACTAATTTAGGGGAGGCCTGTGCAGCGGTCTTGCAAGCTCAAAGACCTAAAGTAACAACAAAGGATGGTCTGATATTAAAACTTTTTAAATGAAAAAGCAGTCTATGGTGGGTAGTCATGTCCTACACCAGTATTTTCCCTGACAAAGATCAACTTTGATCTTAAAGGAGCCTATTGTGTGTGTGGTTTGTTTTTTTTTTTGCATCTATGATAACATAACTTTGGAATGTCAGGGTAACTTATAACTTCTTTTTCCCTGACCTCTCAGGGCACCAGGGCTGAGACTACAAATTCCCTCATTGTTACTGTTATCGTGTTAATTGTTGACTGCTAACTATGCTGTAACCACTTATATAAAAGAAGCATGTGTCTATCATTTTACTTTTTACCCAAACTCAGGATTTCCCTGCTTTGCTTTCTCCCACCTCCCAAATCCATCACCAATGAATTTCATGTAACCTACTTACATCTCCTCCTTTGATGGTAATTTATAAAAATAGGTGAAAAACTGCCATTTTCCAGAGCGTTATCTCAATATGTTTAGATTCTGCTTCCCGGCAATTGTCCAGTTTGGCTCAAATAAACTCACAAAAATTCTTTACAGGTTTGAATGTTTCTTTTTTTAAAAATTGTCTAAAGTTTTACCTATGTCTCTTTTTCCCCCAGTTGACCCCTCCCTCCCAAATGTTTCTTATGTTAGCATTAACTTCCTTTTGTTGAGCACCAAAGTGCCAGGCACTAAGGTAGATTGCTTACATAAATAAATTAATAATCACAGCAAAGCTATAAGATGCTTAATGAAAAACCCTTGATTCTCTTTGAACCAACCATAAGAAAGTCTAAAATAATAAAATGTCAGTAAAAATCAACAGCTACTGAAACCTAAGGACTGGGTTTGTTTTCGTTTCTCAATCCTGTATACCTAGGGCATTTACTATGTCATAGTAGGTGCTCAATAAAGGTTTGATAACTTTATTTTGAATCCTTGAACAGATACTAGAAGAGTCCATAGTTGATTTCTGGGCAGCTGTTTTTCTGTATTATGAGTTATATATCATGTGTCATTATAAATTATGTATTATTTCTGTATTAAGAGACAAGAATGTTACAAGAAAGGGGACCTGGCCCTAGCAGAGCTGCTTAGGGCTGGCCAGTAGTGTGTGGGTTCTTGACTCCGTGCAGGAAAAATTGTACAACATGAGTACAGGTGAATTTTAGAGGACGCTTATTAAAGCTGGAAACAGTGAACCAAGGAAGGGCCTAGGACAGGGGTGGGCAACCGTTTTGTGAGTGTGTGCCAAAACCAGCAAAATCTCTGACTCAAAAATTCTTCTGCGTGCCAACCCTAATTTTTTGAGAACATGTTACGCCTACTTGATATCTCTTAAGATGTACGTACGTGAAGAAGCTTGAAGAAATAATAAAATTCATTCGAGCGACAAAAACACAGTATATGATGATGAAAAATACATTTATTTTTAATGTATACATGTACACTGATAGTCCGACAGAAAACTTTATGACTCCGTTTGATATTATCAGTGGGACTTTTGCTGCTGCATCACTGATGACAGAGATTTTACATCAGGTTTATATTTCGTGACCTTCAGAGATATGCACGAGCTACTACTTTCATCCGTCAGGCTACTCCTATTACGAGACTTAACAAAATTCATCACTGAGAACAAAGATTCGCAAGCGTATGTGGATGAAAACATGGAGAGTAACACTATTGCAAAGTTTTTTAAACAGAAAAAATTTTCTAGAATGACATTCCAAGTCCTCAATAGTTCGTTTTCGACACTATTGAAATTGCTCTTCCCCTCTCTCGTCAATCCATATCTATGGTCTTTAAGATAACTTGTTATGTAAAATTATTTATCTATCTAAGATGCACCTACACTGAATTTATCTGAAAAATAAAAAAGTCGATATTAAGAAAAAAATTGTAAATGGAAGATTATAATAGAGGGTTTTGCGTGCTAGCAAGTTACTGGCGTGCCATGTTTGGCATGCGTGCCAGGGGTTGCCCACCCCTGGCCTAGGATAACAGAGGAGGGACTAGTGATGGTGAACCTATGACACGCGTGTCAGAGGTGACACGCAAACTCATTTTTTTGGTTGATTTTTCTTTGTTAAGTGGCATTTAAATATATAAAATAAATATCAAAAATATAAGTCTTTGTTTTACTATGGTTGCAAATATCAAAAAAATTCTATATGTGACACGGCACCAGAGTTAAGTTAGGGTTTTTCAAAATGCTGAAACTCCGAGCACAAAAGGTTCGCCATCACTGGCCTAGGTGAAGAAATGAGCCTAGGCAGCGCTGCTTCGGATCACTAAGAAGTCAGAGAAAAGGGGGCCTTGGGGACAGGATGATTTGCCCAGGATGAACTGCCACTGCCCATTGCTGCCCTGATTGAAACCCTCTAGGGTCCCTTAGAATTTAGGAAATGGATGCCTGTGGGGGAAGAACAGGGGAGGGGTGCTTTCAGGAGGGAGAGCACTGCTGAGACCTTCGGTTTGAGGAAGTTTTAAATGTTTGGAGTTTAGGGGTAGTCTTAGGAGAGGATTCAACAGAATATTCATTAGTTTTATGTTGATGTGCCAAAATGAGATTTATTCCCTTCATATCCCTTTGGATATGGTATACGACACTAATTGGATTTCCGCTATTTCCCTGTGTAGAGTGATTTAAGCTATTTATCCTCTGGTTGGGGAGGCGAAGGGCAAACCATTTACTCTTAAATGTGCCTGGTTTAGGGAAGATAGGCTTTACTAAATGGCTGCATACTGCTTGTTTGACTCTCTGTCTCAGTTTCCCTATTCTGCTTGACCTGGCTTACTAGCCTGTCTCAAGAACTCACATGGAAGTTGTGTCATCATGAAAAACAAATAGGACAGACAGCCTTAGACAATATTGCAAAAGCCAATTTTCCCACTTAAGTAACAGCAGAGGGACTGGGATAGGTGATATCCTCTTCAACCCATGCTTCCAAACCAACCAGCCAGATGAGTACTGGTGCCACTGCTTGCAAACAGGAACAGAACCGAGAGGCTGTCACTTTCCGCCCGGCAGGCCAAGCAGAGAAAGGGCTTCATGGTCTCAGAAAGGAGCCAATGCACAAATGCACAAAGGGTTCTTGGGTCTCCCACAGCTACGAAAACAACTCTTATGGGTCAACCTCTTGCAAAAAGCACTCGCTGCGCTGGGAGGCTATTGGAAGCTGTGTTTGCAGTCACACTGCTACCAAGGATCCCGGGTTCTCCGCAGCCTTGCAGGGTGGGTGCTATCCCCAGTACCCTTTCCCAAGTTCCCCGCCTGCTTCCAACATTCCTATGACGTCATGGCTTTCCCTAGCCTACAAGTGCGACCGCGCATGCGCGCAGCATGCTGCGGGTGGCGACTGAGCCTGCGCGGGAGCATTTGGCGAGCCGGCTTCGCAGTTGCGGCGTCAGGTTTGGCAGCGGTACCAGAGGCTTCGGGTCAGAGAGGAGTTTTGTGGGGCGGACCCCGCAGTCCACGGAGAGAGCCAGCGGTGGAGTCCGGGCCGGCGGAGGCTGGGCCAGAGTGACCAAAGCAGGAGGGGGCCATCTTGCGTCCAGCAGAGGTTACACATTCATTCTTCTTGTTTCTGGGCAAAAAGTTTTCCAGTTCAGCCGCCCCCTGGATGCGTAGGGGAGAAGTACGGACCACAGGGCTGACCGCGCTGCTTCGGCAGCGGGTCTTTGGGCTCTTGAACGAGACCCCACCCCTGGGACGTGCGGCCGGGGGACTGGAATTTCCCCCACGTTTGCCCCTCACGAACCGCGCTGGCGGCTTGAATCGCATGCGTTCTGATTCCGAGGACACCCCTCCCCCGAATGGGGACCCTCGGGCTCCGAGAGAAACGGGGTGTGTCCAGGGCCGGGATTTCATCCCGATCCATGGGAGGATTTGTTGGGGCAGAGGAGTGGTGTGGACCGCCGCAGGGATCTTGCAGGCGTGTGTCAGTGGAGATGGAAGGAGAGACCATAGGCTTGGAGGGAATTACCTTGTTTCTCTTCTTACCCTCGGACTTTCGTTAACTTACTCGCTCCCGCAGGCTTCTGGCTTTTTCTTCCCACTGATTTCTTTCCGCTGGGATGCTCCCCACGTGTCACCAAGTGCCGTGGGAACCCTTGGTCTCATAGGGAAACAGCCCCGCTTGTCCAGGATTGCAGAAGGAACCTGAATGGTACCACTTTCTCTCCAATAACATAGCATTGAGTCATCCCCCATAGCCACAAGCTTGCTAGTGTGTTTTGTTCTGTCTCCTGGACAATATAGGCAGCAACTGGATGGATGAGTCATTGTGTACTAATTACTTTATATTCATTCTCTTGAAATCTTTGCTTATTGCCGACAAGTGTTCCCCTTCTTATCTGCTTAGTATTTTTAATACTTGTATTTTAAATACTGCTTGGGTCGGGGATTTACCAAATGCTAGGTACTGTGTTAAGCACCTTAAGTGAATTATCTGATGTCATTATCATCTTAATTTCTGCAGTTATTAACCCCATTTTACACTTCAGGAAACTGAATCTTAGAGAAACCAAGTAGTGGCCACATATCACACAGCCATTAAGTGTTGGAGTCCAAGGTTGAATTCATTTATTGGACTCCAGAGCCTGAGCCCTAACCACAAACCTTGTTTTATTTTATTTTTTTCAAAAATTGAAAACTTAAGCTAAATAACCCCAGAATCTGGAAAATAAAATTAGAGCACATGTAAAAAGCAGTGGAAATCCTAACATATCAACATATAGTTTAAATGAGTAAAAATATTTTTATATTCATTTTATACTAATTTTGGAATTCTTGTTATCTATATAGCAGTCTTACATGTGTGTGTGTCTTCATCTATAACTAGATTTCAAGATTAGTATAAAATAATTTGAGTCTTTGCCTGGGACTTGTTGAGGGAAACTGACTTTGAGACCATAGAGAATCAACAGACCCATTGAAAACTGTATACCAATACTTGAACATTTAAAGAAGTATTTTTTACATACTTAATCTTAACATACATTATAAAAATAACATTATGTACCAAAATATTCTGGCTTGAGGGAGCATGTTTTGAGAGGTAGGACAGTTAACATAACCAGGTGGTGCATTCAGTTATGCAAATGAGACACCGTGAGGGGAAGCAGTTAGTATATTCAAAGATAAAAGAATGTAGTCTCATGGGTTTATCTCTTGATCTAACTACCTCAGTGGAAGTGGGATTTTCTTTGTCAGGAATAGACTGGAAAATGTGTGTGTGTCTTTCCCTAGAGGCCAATAAATGGCTGTTGTGAACCTTTCCCAGTGCAGTCATAGCTGTTGAATATTTTTTTAATATAGTTTATTGATTTTTTACAGAGAGGAAGGGTGAGGGATAGAGAGTTAGAAACATCGATGAGAGAGAAACATCGATCAGCTGCCTCCTGCACACTCCCCACTTGGGATGTAACCAAGGTACATGCCCCTGACCGGAATGGAACCTGGGACCCTTCAGTCCCCAGGCCAATGCTCTATCCACTGGGCCAAACCGGTTAGGGCAGCTGTTAAATATTTTTAACCTGAGTGCCTCCAGCCGTGTCTCTCTCTCACTCACTCTCTCTCTCTCTCTCTCTCTCTCTCTCTCTCTTGGCATTCCCTAGTATGGTTTCCCAGGAACTTAACTGTAGGTATTTAGTAATTCATTAAACAAACAGACCTATGTCTTGCCAATCGCTAGTGGCACAAATTGTAACGTGATTTCTCATCTCTGGAGACAGTTTAGTAAGTGTGGTACAGCAGTTAGCCATTCATTTCATTTGCTGGATAACGTAGCCTTGTACTCATAGTGTATTTGATGGTTTTTGCTTGTAGGAGTGGGGGATTTTGTGGTCTCTGTACTATAACAGTTCATCCCATCCCCTGTGTGACACTGCTCTGGGCTCTCTGGGCTATCTGGAATGTGCCAGCAGGTGTCTGAAACCACTAGATAATAGCAGAAGTCTGTATTTCTGGAGCACACATTGTTACTTAAAGTCTCTTTGAAAAGTAAGTGTTATATAGTTTAAACCAGGGGTCCTCAAACTTTTTAAACAGGGGGCCAGTTCACTGTCCCTCAGACCGTTGGAGGGCCGGACTATAGTTTAAAAAAAAACTATGAACAAATTCCTATGCACACTGCACATACCTTATTTTGAAGTAAAAAAACAAAACGGGAACAAATACAATATTTGTATTTGCATGTGGCCCGCGGGCCATAGTTTGAGGACCCCTGGTTTAAACCATAGATTCTGATACCTTATAGATTCTAATAGAACTTGCATGGATATTAAAAATGTGAAAAATAATTTCACACTTGTCATGACTGCTTTAGGAAATATTCTAGACCTTAGCACAACAAGGTACCTGTTATTTCCTTTCTAACTTTAGAAGCTACTTCAGTGAAAAGCTCTGTGTCATGACACACTGTTGTTTTTATTTTTGTTAAAGCATTTAGCATTTTATAATTAGTTCCCATTTGTCCCTTTTTCTTTACAGGGTGTATGCTCGCCTAAGGCAATTCTATACTGTATTTGCCCATAGCACTGTGCCTTGTTCATATGCAGTCAGTGAATTGGTAATCAAATTTATAAAACTGTAAGTAACCATGTTAAAATATAGAACTAAAAGAGACAGGTCAAGTGAGGATTTCATGGGGAGGGTATTTTGAGTTAGGTTTTGAATTTCAGAGTGATTAGGCATAGCTAGCAGTGAAGGAGTGGAAGTAAACAGCCATAGGCTTTGTTTGTCTGAAAGAAGATACCTTTTCTTTCTTCCTTCCTTCCTTCCTTCCTTCCTTCCTTCCTTCCTTCCTTCCTTCCTTTCTTTCTTCCTTCCTTCCTTTCTTTCTTTCTTCCTTCCTTCCTTTCTTTCTTTTTTCTTTCTTTCTTCTTCTTCTTTTTTTTTGAAAAAAAACTTCCTACAAAGCCAAATTTCAATTCAGTGAGCTAATGATTATTTGAAAACATCTGTTTTAAGAAGTTTGTTTCTGGTACTGTGTCTGACAGAGAGAGAGATATAAGAAGTTCAGAAATATAGTGAATTGAGCCTTATTTGTTACTATCATTATTAGCAATCATCTTTTGCATTATGTGCTAAACAAGGAATGGAATACTTTCAATAGAAGCTGTAATTTAGGGAGTAAGAACATTAAAATAATTAAATTTAGTATTGTAAATTACAGACAATGGGACTACTGATACTTTTGATAATAAATACTAAATAGAATTAAGATAAAATAGTTGGTTGTTATTAAATGTAGAGATTGAAAAGACATTATTTGCAGCATTTATAGCATTGATCCATTTTCACTTGGCAAACATTATGAACCAGGTGTTCTCTTTAAAGACTTTACATTAAATATTTAGTTGAATTTTATCTTTTACTTAAAGTTACTCTCTTTCTGTTTTATTAGTTGAACCAGAGGATTCACCCATCGCTTCTATGGCTGCCTCACAAACTTCACAAACTGTTGCATCTCACGTTCCTTTTGCAGATTTATGTTCAACTTTAGAACGAATACAGAGAAGTAAAGGACGTGCAGATAAAATCAGACACTTCAGGGAATTTTTAGATTCTTGGAGAAAATTTCATGATGCCCTTCATAAGAACCAGAAAGATGTCACAGACTCTTTTTATCCTGCAATGAGACTTATTCTTCCTCAGCTAGAAAGAGAGAGAATGGCCTATGGAATCAAAGAAACAATGCTTGCTAAGCTTTATATTGAATTGCTCAATTTACCTAAAGATGGAAAAGATGCTCTTAAACTTTTAAATTACAGGACACCTACTGGAATTCGCGGAGATGCTGGAGACTTTGCCATGATTGCATACTTTGTATTGAAACCAAGATGTTTACAGAAAGGAAGTCTAACCATCCAGCAAGTAAATGACATTTTGGATTCAGTTGCCACCAATAATTCTGCCAAAAGAAAGGACCTAGTAAAGAAGAGTCTTCTTCAGCTAATAACTCAGAGTTCAGCACTTGAACAAAAGTGGCTAATACGAATGATTGTGAAGGACTTAAAGCTGGGTTTTAGTCAGCAAACTGTATTTTCTCTTTTTCATAATGATGCTGCTGAGTTGCATAATGTCACCACAGATCTGGAAAAAGTCTGTAGGCAACTGCATGACCCTTCAGTAGGGCTCAGTGATATCTCTATCACTTTATTCTCTCCCTTTAAACCAATGCTCGCTGCAATAGCAGATATTGGGCGAATTGAGAAGGACATGAAAAACCAGAGTTTCTATATTGAAACCAAGCTAGATGGCGAGCGTATGCAAATGCACAAAGATGGGGATGTATATGCATATTTCTCCCGAAATGGCTATAAATATACAGAACAGTTTGGTGCTTCTCCACAGGAAGGTTCTCTTACACCATTCATTCATAATGCATTCAGAACAGATATACAGATTTGTATCCTTGATGGTGAGATGATGGCCTACAATCCTAATACACAAACTTTTATGCAAAAGGGGAATAAGTTTGATATTAAAAGAATGGTAGAAGATTCTGATCTGCAAACTTGTTACTGTGTTTTTGATGTATTGATGGTCAATAATAAAAAGCTAGGACATGAAACCCTGAGAAAGAGATACGAAATTCTTAGTAGTATTTTTACACCAGTACCAGGCAGAATAGAAATAGTGGAAAAAACACAAGCTCATACTAATAAAGAAGTAATTGATGCTCTGAATGAAGCAATAGATAAAAGAGAAGAGGGAATCATGATAAAACATCCTCTATCCATTTATAAGCCAGACAAAAGAGGTGAAGGATGGTTAAAAATTAAACCAGAGTATGTAAATGGCCTCATGGATGAACTGGACATCATAATTGTCGGGGGCTATTGGGGTAAAGGTGCACGGGGTGGAATGATGTCTCATTTTTTGTGTGCTGTCGCAGAGAAGCACGCTTCTGGTGAAAAACCATCAGTGTTCCATACTCTCTGTCGTATTGGCTCAGGTTACACCATGAAAGAACTGTATGATCTGGGTTTGAAACTGGCCAAGCATTGGAAGTCTTTTCATAAAAAAGCTCCACCAAGTAGCATTTTATTTGGAACAGAGAAGCCAGAAGTGTACATTGAGCCTTGTAATTCTGTCATCGTTCAGATTAAAGCATCAGAGATTGTTCCCAGTGACATGTATAAAACTGGCTGCACTTTGCGTTTTCCACGAATTGAAAAGATCAGAGAAGACAAAGAGTGGCATGAGTGCATGACTCTGGATGACTTAGAACAACTTCGAGGGAAAGCATCTGGAAAGCTTGCGTCTAAACACCTTTATGTTGGTGGTGATGATGAACCCCAAGTAAAAAAGCGGAAAGCTCCCTCCAAAATTAAGAAAGTTATTGGAATTATTGAGCACTTAAAAGCACCTAACCTTTCTAACGTAAACAAAGTTTCCAATATATTTGAAGATGTGGAGTTTTGTGTTATGAGTGGAATAAATGGCCATCCAAAGCCTGACCTGGAGAACAGAATTGCAGAATTTGGTGGTTATATAGTACAAAACCCAGGCCCAGACACATACTGTGTTATTGCAGGGTCTGAGAACATAAGAGTGAAAAATATAATTTCTTCAAATAAACATGATGTTGTCAAGCCTGAGTGGCTGTTAGAATGTTTTAAGACCAAAAGCTGTGTGCCATGGCAGCCTCACTTTATGATTCATATGTGCCCATCAACAAAACAACATTTTGCCCGTGAATATGATTGTTATGGTGATAGTTATTTTGTTGATACAGATTTGAACCAACTGAAGGAAGTATTCTCAGGAATTAAAGATTCTAGTGAACAGACTCCTAAAGAAATGGCCTCTGTGATTGCTGATTTAGAGTATCGATATTCCTGGGACTGCTCTCCCCTGAATATGTTTCGAAATCACACCATTTACTTGGACTTGTATACTGTTATTAATGACTTGAATACCAAAATCGAGGGAACAAGATTAGCTATTACAGCCTTAGAGCTTCGATTTCATGGAGCAGAAGTAGTTTCTTGTTTAGCTAAGGGAGTATCTCATGTAATCATTGGGGAGGATCATAGTCGTGTTGCAGATTTTAAAGCTTTTCGAAGAACTCTTAAGAGAAAGTTTAAAATTCTGCAAGAAGGTTGGGTAATTGATTCAATAGACAAATGTGAGTTACAGGATGAAAATCAATATTTGGTTTAAAGCTTGTTTTTCTAGTAAGGAAATCATCTGATTTGGCCAACCCCTAACAGGTGATAATGATAAAATATTAAACTAAATTTTATTTTTATCTCTTAATATCTATGCTTGAATAATATTATTAGATATAGGAAAACAATAATTTTCACTTTTGAAGTAGACAAGACAGTGGCCTGAAGCCAAGAAAGAAGAAATTATTTTAGCAATGTAGTAGTTGATGGGAAAAGTTTTAAAAAAAGATTTTTATGTAATATCCCTATAACGATCTAGAAGTTTGACTCAGATATTAATAAAATACATGTAGAAAGTTTTAGAGTCAGAATTTTAACCTAAACAGGATTTTCTGAAGTCATAATAGTTTTTATCTAATAAAAGCATTATAAGGAAAAAGCAGAATTGTAACAATTGGACTTGTAAAAATAAGTCTTTTAAACTAAATACTGAATTTTGAAAAATATCAAATGTTGTAAACAAGTTTATTTTTTAAGGTTAAGGTCAAGCTCATGAATAAGACCTTGCTAGTGATATCATTAGCTAAATTAGGGGAAGTGGAATGACAATGTTCTAAAAGCTTAATTAGATCAATATAAATGATAGTCACAGAGTGATTTTTTTTTAGATATAGTTCATCTCAAAATGGCATGTGTGTTGTAGCTTTCACTACAGAGAAATAAATTGCCTTGACTTTTAATATTGCTTACTATCCTTAGGTTAGTTAAAGTCAGTGTGCATTGTATATATTGTGTCTGGATTTCTATGCCAGATTGTGGAATATAGCTTACATATTGTGAAAAATATACTTTCATGACACTATTGAAATACTTAGAACTTGGTACCTGAGAAACAGTGTGTAGGTTATTTATAAATAATTAGAAATGTCACCCAAACAGTGGAACAAGTGTATGTAATTTTATTACATTTCTTAATTTAAATAAAATATTTATATACTATTGAAATGATTTCTTATGGTATGTTTACTTTAAAGTAATAATAGTTATTTCAATCAGATGTAAATATTGATTAATTCAAGTCAGGTTCCTATTTAAGGTCATTTGTATTTTGTATTCCTTAATGAGTTTTATTTAAAAACTTGAGGCCCGGTGCACGAAATTTGTGCACTGGGGCGGGGGGGGGGTGTCCCTCAGCCCAGCCTGCACCCTCTCCAATCTGGGACCCCTTGAGGGATGTCCGACTGCCAGATAGGATCGGGCCTAAACGGGCAGTCGGACATCCCTCTCACAATCCAGGACTGCTGGCTCTCAACTGCTCGCCTGCCTGATTGCCCCTGACCGCTTCTGACTGCCAGCCTGATCACCCCCTAACCACTGCCCTGCCAGCCTGATCGATGCCTAACTGTTCCCCTGCCGGCCCGGCCGCCACCAATTGCCCGCCCCTGCTGGCCCGGTTGCTCCCAACTGCCCTCCCGTGCAGGCTCGGTTGCCCCCAAACTGCCCTCCTTTGCAGGCCTGGTATCCCCCAAATTGCCCTCCCCTGCAGGCCTGGTACCCCCCAAACTGCCCTCCCCTGCTGGCCTGATTGCCAACAACTGCCCTACCATGCCGGCCCGGTCACCCCCAACGGCCCTCCCCTGCTGGCCTGTTCACACCCAACTGCCCACCCCTGCAGGCCCTGTCGCCCCTAACTGCCCTCCCCTACAGGCTATCTTGTGGTGGCCATCTTGTGTGTTGGAGTTATGGTCAATTTGCATACTGGTCATGATTAATCAGCATATCAGAGATAATTAGCATATGCCTCTCTTATCACTGTGTTGAAGTGATGATCAATTTGCATACTGGTCGTGACTAATTAGCATATCTGGTCGTGACTGTGAGGGTGTTGTTACCAATTTGCATATTACCCTTTTATTAGTATAGAATTCAGGGGTGGGCAAATTTTTTGACTCGAGGGCCACAATGGGTTCTTAAACTGGACCGGAGGGCCGGAACAAAAGCATGGATGGAGTGTTTGTGTGAACTAATATAAATTCCAAGTAAACCTCATTAGATAAAAGGGTACGGTCTTTTTTTTTTTTAGTTTTATTCATTTCAAACGGGCCGGATCCGGCCCGCGGGCCGTAGTTTGCCCACGGCTGGTATAGATTAACCTTGTATATTTTTATAATATCTACTGAGAAAAAATACAAACTACAGATAAATGAAGTGGGGAAAAGCTATATAATTTTACCATTTACTATTTTAGGTTATTGATGGAAAGATTAGTGCAAAACATTAACATTATAGTGTAAATAAGTATAAAACAAACTAGAATGCTCTAATTGATCAGCTTTTCTCAAAACATTTTGAGTCTATACCAGCGGTTCTCAACCTGTGGGTTGTGACCCCTTTGGGGGTCGAACGACCCTTTCACAGGGGTTGCCTAAGACCATCGGAAAACACATATATAATTACATATTTTTTTGTGATTAATCAGTATGCTTTAATTATGTTCAATTTGTAACAATGAAAATACATCCTGCATATCAGATATTTACATTATGATTCATAACAGTAGCAAAATTACAGTTATGAAGTAGCAACAAAAATAATTTTATGGTTGGGAGTCACCACAACCTGAGGAACTGTATTAAAGGGTCGTGGCATTAGGAAGGTTGAGAACCACTGGTCTATACCTACACCATTCTTAATTGCTGGACAATATTCCATTGAATGTAACGTAATGTATCAAGCCAGCCCATTGATTGACTTTCAGGCTATTTTACCATGCCACCTTCCTCCCTTCTCTTTTCCCATTGAGCATTTGTAATAAATCTTTTACATAGTCTATGTACACTAGTCCTATTCATTTCTTATACATTCCTAGAAATGGAATTACTGATTCAAAGTTACATATTTTCTAGTGACAATACACATTGCAAAATCCTGGCAAAAATGCCTTTCAAGATTTTTTCTCATCTCCTAATGTTGGAGAGTTCAGTTACTTAGTGCTGGACCTATTTATTTTTATTCACTCTGTAGGCATTCTCATCCTGTGTCATGGCTTTAAATGTGCTGATAACTCCTATAACTTTTAGCCTGATTTCTTTGCTGAACTCCATGTATATCTAACACCTCCACACGAAGTGTGTTTATAAGCATTCTTTTAAAAGTTTATTATTAAAATATTAATAAGTATTGTTACTGAACAATTGTAAATGCAGAAGATAGAATAGTATAATAAACCTGGGCATGCATATCATCCTGTCTCAACAATTAGCAATGATTAACCTTTTTTTATATTTACAGAACTAGATTATTTTGAAGTAATCGTAGTCACATAATTTCATCTACAAATATTCCTATAGAAGTCTTGATTTCTCAAACAAACTTACGATCTTTTTCAGTGTTTCCCTCCTCACTAAGCTGTATTCTATTCACCCAGCTGCTTAAGCCAAAAACCGGGGTTCTTCATCTGTTCTCATACTTACAGTGCATAGCAAATCTTGGATAGAGCTTCCACATACATTCAGAATATGACCTCTCACCACTCTTGGAGATAACCAACCATAGTTTCCTCCTCCATTACTCACTGGACTATTCTCATACCCTCACAGTGGACCTTCCTCCTTGTGCTCTTACTCCACTGCTATCTGTTCACCAGAACAAACTTTGTTTAAAGATGCAAATCAGATCATGTTAACATGGTCAAAACCACTAAATCCTCATCATTCATTACCTCTAAAGTCTTTAACATGATCTGTTGGACACGGTCCCACATCATCTGTTAGCTCTCTGACTTAATTTCCTACCAGTTGCCCCACATCCCCTGCAGTCACACTGGTTTGTTTGCTTTTCCTTTCAATATCATTGAGATCTCTTATATTTTCCTTCATCCACATCCCCACTTTATTATAAAATTATTTCCCAGCCCTAGACAATAAATTCTGTAAATGAAGACATTTGGTTTGTGTTGTGCACTGTTGTACTATTTATAGAATAAATCCTTTGGAGCAGACTGAAAAACCTACTTTGCTCTTATTTTCCAAGACCATTGTTTCTTGCCACAAAGTAGGATGAGCCATTTAGTATTCAAAAATTCCTTCACCCTCTTCTGCATCCCTGATGACTTAGAACTGTCCCAAAAGAATTCATTCCTGTCTTCTGACTCATGGTACCTTCTGGGAAAGTCAGGTGGCTGGATTAGGTAATTCTTACTCATGTGCTTGCCTAGGATAGGAATTAACAAGACTGTTTGAATCCTTGAAATGCTCATTTTTGGGGAAATAGTTTGAGTTTAGCTTTAAAACATCTAATATGAAATTCTTTCACCACTAGAGCTATTCCATAAATAACTGCCACCATTTACTTTCAACCAATGTATATTAAATTCTTACTCTCTTTGATAATCATTTGGATAAATGAATGAATAAGGCAGGCTTTGCCCTCAAAGAACTCAGAGTATACTGAAAGATAAATATAATTAGAATACAAAAGATAAATGTTATTCTAACTAAAGGAATAGTGGATTGCCCCAAAAGCCATGTTGTACAAAAAAAAAAGAGTACAAGCTTTAGAATCAAGTCTTCCTAGACCCCAATCCCAGTTCTAACCAAGTATCATTTTGAGCAAATCACAAACTCTAAACTTTAGTTTCTAAACTTTCAAATAGAAACAATGCCTGCTTCACCCAGAATGTTTGACAGAATGAAAGCAACCAGCACATAGAAAGCGCTCTCCAGCTTTTGTAAAGTATTCAAATTTAGGTGTGTGTGTGTGGGGGGGGGGGGGCGTTATAGGTAAATAGATCAGGATCGATTTTAAATGCCACACTACAAAATATGGGTGGTGTCTGGAACTCAAAAAAAAGTGTACTGAAGAATTTTAAACAAGGTATTTTAGGGCTAAGGCTAATTTCTTGATTTCCCCCTGACTTCATTCAAGCTGATATAACAAAGATACTGGTGTGTGTCCTCTTCCTGGTTTACAGATGGCCGCCTTCCTACTGTATCTTCCTGTGGGGGAGAGAGCTCTGGTCTCATTTGATAAGGGCACTACTCCCATCACGGGGGGCTCCACGGCCTCATGAACTCATCTACACATAATTACTTCCCAAAGACCCGACCTCCAAATATCATCACATGAGGATTAGGGCTTCAGCGTATGAATTGCAGAGAGACACAGAGACACAGACACTCAGTCCATAGCCTCCACCCCCCCCCCCACAC